AGGTCATACCTGAATGGTCTAGTGGTTTTCCCTAGTTTCTTCAATTTAAGTCTGAATTTGCAATAAGGAGTTCATGATCTGAGCCACAGTCAGCTCCTGGTCTTGTTTTTGCTGACTGTATAGAGTTTCTTCATCTTTGGCTGCAAAGAATATAATCAGTCTGATTTTGGTGTTGACCATCTGGTGATGTCCAGGTATAGAGTCGTCTCGTGTTGTTGGAAGAGGGTGTTTGCTATGACCAGTGTGTTCTCTTGGCAAAACTCTGTTAGCCTTTGCCCTGCTTTATTTTGTACTCCAAGGCCAAATTTGCAGGTTACTCCAGGTATCTCTTGACTTCCTACTTTTGCATTCCAGTCCCCTATAATGAAAAGGACATCTTTTTTGGTTGTTAGTTCTAGAAGGTCTTGTAGCTCCTCATAAAACTGTTCACCTTCAGCTTCTTTAGCATTACTTGTTGGGGCATAGACTTGCATTACTGTGATATTGAATGGTTTGCCTTGAAAACAAGCAGAGATCATTCTGTTGTTTTTGAGATTGCACCCAAGTACTGCATTTCAGACTCTAGTTGACTATGAGGGCTACTCCATTTCTTCTAAGGGATTCTTATCCATAGTAGTAGGTATAATGGTCATCTAAGTTAAATTTACCCATTCCAGTCCATTTTAGTTCACTGATTCCTAAAATGTCTATGTTCACTCTTGCCATCTCCTGTTTGACCACTTCCAATTTGCCTTGATTCATGGACCTAATATTTCAGATTCCTATGCAATATTGTTCTTTATAGCATTGGACTTACTTCCATCACCAGTCACATCCACAGCTGGGTGTTGTTTTTACTTTGGCAAATGTGTCTGTTGGCCATCTGTATGTCTTCTTTGGAGAAATGTCTACTTATGTCTTCTACTCACTTTTTTATTGGGCTGTTTTGGGCTTTTGTTGTTGTTGTTGTTATTGAGATGTATTAGCTATTTGTATATTTTGGAAATTAAGCCTTTGTTAGTTGCATCATTTGCAAATATTTTCTCCCAGTCCATAGATTGCCTTTTAATTTTGTTTATGGTTTCATTTGCTGTGCAAATCTTGTAATTGTGATTAGGTCTCATTTGCTTATTTTTACTTTTATTTCTATTGCCTTGGGACACTGTCCTAAGTAAACATTAGCATTATTTATGTCAGAAAATGTTTTGCCTGTGTTCTTTTGTAGGAGTTGTATGGTGTATTTTGAGTTTATTTTTGTGTATGATGTGAGGGTATGTTCCAACCTCATCAATTTACATGTGGCTGTCCAGCTTTCCCACAAGCACTCCACACAAAAACTCTTAGAACTGATAAATGAATTCAGCAAGATAGCAAGATACAAGATTAACATATAGAAATCTGTTGCATTTGTTTATACTAGCAATGAATATCAGAAAGAGAAAGTTTTAAAAAAACCCCTTTTAAAGTAGAATAAAACTGTTCAAGGTGATTAAAGGCTTATATGCTAAGAACTATAAAACAGTAATAAAGGAAATTGGAGATAATTCAAAGAAACAGAAAAATATTCCATGCTCTTGGATTGGATGAATTAATATTGTTAAAATGATAATGCTGCCCAATGCAATCTCCTGATTTAATGTGATCTCTATCAAATTACCCATGACATTTTTCACAGAGCTAGAGCAAATAATCCCAAATTTACATGGAACCATAAAGCACTCAGATTGCCAAAGCAGTCCTGAGGAAAAAGAACAAAGCTAGAGGCATCCTCCTAGAATTCAGAAAATACAACAAAGCTACAGTAGTCAAAAAAGCATAGCATTGGTACCAAAACAGATATTCAGATAAATGGAACAAATAGAGAGTCCCAAAATAAACCCACACACCTACAGTCAGTTAATCTTCAACAATGGAGCCAAGAATATACAGTGGAGAAAAGACAGTGTTCTTTCTACTCTTAATCAGAGCTATATGCCATGTTGTAGGATAAATTTCTTCTCTAGAGTAGGATTAATTTTTATTCTATTAATACAGCTAAAATGTAAGTTTTGGGATACTAAGAGACCTGGAGGCTGGTCAAAGCAATTTTTACTGCTACTTTGCTCTCTATTCCAAACAAAATTACAAAACACCCTCACGTATCCTCTATGTGTGTGTTGTCTTCTTTGGTTCAAAGGCTCAAGATGATCTGGTGTTACTGTCCCTCCCATCCACCAATCTCCCCCAGCTTGTGGAGACAGAGGACACAGAGGTTTTTGTCACCATCCATGCATTTGATTTCAATGACAAAGGCATTTTGTAACTATAAAAGGATAAGTATGATTGATAGTGATAAATCATAATTAATGCATGCACCCTTTGAGACCACCTCAGTAGACATATCTCTTTTTACTTTTAGTAGAAACAGTAAAGAACAAGCTGGAATAGTCTTTGAGTAGCAAAAACTTAACAAGAGCTTCACAAGTATCACACTGTGAAGCATGTGAATTTAACCTTCCAAGAAAAAAATAGGCAATGTGATGATTTGAGAACTTTAGTTAACAAGTTTTTAATTTCACCTTTCTTCAGAAGTGAGAAAGTGAAAACAACAACAACAAATTTTATATGCCTGGCAAGTTGGAATTTCTGAACCTACAAAAGAGGAATACCACCTATAACTGTGAATTTTTTCCAGAAAAATTCTTTTTTTTCCCTTTCATCCTGCTAATTGATGTGATCAATTCTGACTTCAACTCCTATAAGCTTCAAATAGTTGGGGTGTTTTCCTTGACTCCCTCCCTATCACTTAGAATACTCTTTTTTCCCCTCCATCTCAGTTACAGTTTGAGGAATGGAGCAGTATTAGTTCTGTCTGATTTCTTATGGGTTTGGAGGAAAGAAATATAACTGTTTTACAGATAAAGTTGCTGAATGATGAGGTTTTGCTCTCTGTCCTAAGGTTTGAATGAAAAAAAATTTTTTTGGCAGCATTCACTTAACAAAGTCCATGGTACATTCAGTAGCCATTTTCTAAAAAATTAACAAAGTGAGTTTTTCACTTTAAGAAAACAATGACAGTAGTTATTGTCAATGACAAAAATCAACTTTTAAGTAAAAATGAAATTTTCTAAAACTTTTATCTGCCTCCCTGAGCTTGACAGCTTCTCATAATTCAGACTTTTTTAATGATATGGGTGGTGATATTAACAAAAATGTTTTTAATATTGTGTGAATTGTGTCAAAGTTTTGAAGACCTACATAATTCAGTAGACCATTATTTTACAAAATAAATAGTATATGATGTTACAATTCAGGTAAAGTTAAATGATCCATTCAAGGTGCAAGATAGTCTATGGTATTTTAAAGTAAAGGTACCAAAACAGTTCGTTGATTTGGGTTCAGATTCCACATTTCCATTAATCTTTAAAAAAAAGAAACACTACTTTTCATGTTTTGGTAGTATGAAAGATTGTCCACAGTTATCTGAAAAGGATACTAAAATACTCCTTCCTTTTCCAACTATCTATATATGTAAGACTGTCATATATTTCAACTAACACAACATATTGAACTGGATTTAATGTAGAAACAAGTATGAGAATTCAACCATCTGCTATTAAGCCAAGTACTGATGAAATTTGAAAAAAAATATAAAATGGTATGCCTCACTGTTTTAATATGGTTATTTTTCATTAAAATCCCTACTTACAGGTATATTCTTGTTATTTTAATGGAACCAATGAATAAATATTTGTAAATATATACTTTTACTTTTTAATTAGAAACTTTAATGTTCTTTGAGGACTAGTGTTTTCTTTTTGTAGTATAAAGAAATCCTGAGATTGAAACCTATGAGAATGAATGATCTACATCCATGTTAAAGACCTTCACCAGATTTCAATTGTTCTAAAGATAAAATGCAAATTCTAAACATAGTACCACTTAACAGTATATTATAATCCCATGAATATTTATTTAGTTCCTTGGTCCAGTGATGCTGCCGTTTGTGGACACACTGTTCCTTCTCTTTAGGATGTTCTTCTCCATCCATATCACCTAGTTAATTCTTTCTTATTCTTCTGGTTTCAGCTCATGAAGTCCTTTCCTAGACTTACTTGTAACCATGCTTTTATACATCAGAACATCTTCCCTCTTTCTGATTGTATGTTTATTGATGAATTTCACTGAAGTATTTCTTCCCAATAGACTGAAAAACCATAAAACCAGTAAGCATGTGTATGTTGGCTTACCATTGTATCCATTCTTCCTAACAGTGCTTATCACAAAGTAGAGTGGGAAGCAAAATATTTGTTGGTGAATGAGTAAGTGAATAAATGTGTGAATCAATAGAGGAGGGAAAATCCATTGAAATCAACATAGAATTTGACCTAGCATGAATTGCTTCTTCAGTAATGTAAAGATCCAAGATAAATACTAGAAAAAGAATATTTTGAACTCATTTAAATCACTCGTATTTTTCCCTAGTGCAATTTTATTACTATATATTCTTGTCGGCCACTTCTCTTGCACAGAAAATAGAATGGAAGCAGATATAATATACAACAACATTTAGTTGTGTTAGCAAGTATTCCTTTGTAAGCTTTGTAGGTAGTGAGCAACTGTTGGCAGACAGCTTCTTGTATTTCACTTGACTTAATGTTTGCTATAAATTAGAATTCTATTATTTGTATGTATGACTGTCTTTCTTCAGTCTCCTATTGTCTCATCTATTACCTCTTTTGGCCTAAAAATCTACAGTTGAGTGACACCTACTTGCATTTCCTCCATATCTCTCATGTTACTAGCTTATCATTATACTTAACAAACCTCATTTTAAGTTTATAATTTATTAGTTTTCCCGTGAGACTTTCCACTCCTTAAGAGCTTAGACTGTATTCTGTTCATCTGTGTATCCATAGGATATGATAAGGTGTTTAGCTCTTGATAAACACTCAATAAATGAATGTACAAAAAAATTATTGAATGAACCAGTTAATAAATGACATGATATATTCCTTAACTTTTTAATTAAATCGTTCCAGTTAAAACTCAGGTAATGGGAGAAATCAAGATTGCATTGAAGAAAGAAATGAAGACAGATGGGGAACAACTAATAGTTGAAATCCTACAGTGTAGAAATATTACCTACAAATTTAAATCTCCTGATCACTTACCAGGTATCTAATTTTATGATAATAAGCAATATAATGTAGCTAAGAACTCCTTAGGAGAATGAACTAAATGCCTTAGAAAATGCTAACTAAAATTTGGGCTGTGTATCAAATATATCTGAAAAAAATATGAAATAAGAATTAATTTATCTTATATAGAGCAAATTGATATTTCACTGGTTAAAATCTAGATTTTTTTCCAACACAAACTTAAAGTGATATATTTATTATACAACAAGTAAACATTTAAACTGCTAAGAAAATTGGTGTGTTTTAATTAGGTATATTTTAATTGCTCTATGTTGTCTGAAACAAGTTGTTCACAGTCTACTGGCTTTATGTAAAATGTAGGGAAGCTCTCAGTATACAATTAATGCTAATTGTATTGAAAAACATATTGTTAATGGACACTTAACAAGCTATATTCTTATTTTCAGATTTATATGTGAAACTATATGTGATGAACATATCTACCCAAAAAAAGGTGATCAAGAAAAAAACAAGAGTATGTAGACATGATCGAGAGCCTTCATTCAATGAAACTTTTAGATTCAGTCTAAGTCCTGCTGGACATTCTCTTCAGGTATGGTTCCTATTTTTAAATTTGCACCTATACTGTAATTATTTCCTATTTAATTATTCAATATTTATGTCCCAATCATATAGTATGTATGTTTTACAAGTTAATTTTTAGAAGTAACTTTCCAGGGGCCCTTGAAAATTCCACAACCAACTCACCCCATCCAATTAGCCTCTATCCTACCTATTCCATTTCATTTATACAGATTTTTTTTCATACTCACTGCCACTAATCCTCTTTGGGTCTTCATTTTTATTATGCAAATCATTTCAGCAGTATACCTGACCTACTTGCCATCACTATCATGCTTTTAATTCATTTTATCACACTATTGGCAGAGATATCTTTTAAAAACACTGACTAGGTTACCCTCCAATGATTCACTGTTATCCTGACCCATTCAGAATCCTCTAAAGTGAGTTATATTTATTTAATTATATTCCATTTAATTTCATCTCTTTGTATACTTTTCCACTCACTCGTTACTTCAGTCACACCAGAATCTTCAAATTCTTGGATTGTTTGCTTGTATTTTTCCTCCCCTTCAGTACTCCCTTCTTCTTTTCTCTCCATCTTTTACAATATTCCACATCTTTCAATGTAGAATCATCTCTTTATTGATGACCATGGTATAATTCATCACATCTTATTCACATGTTTTGCTTATCTTATTAGGCCATTACTCCCAGTTTTGTGCAACCATTTATGTACTTAACCTGCCACTGTTTCTGTAGTGTCCACTTCACTGGTGCAAGGCTTGATTTTCATTGCTGTCTGTTCTGCAGCCTAGCACAATGCTTATACATAGTATGCCTTTGGTAGATGTAGAGACAAGGAATGAGAAAGGAGAAAGAGGAGGGAGGGTAATGATGAAAACATGGGAAGAGAAGACCATGGTTCTGGTACTTAAATAAAGGCCTGTGCTGGAGACTAATGTAAGAGATATTACAAAGCAAAAACTGCCTTGAAAGGATTAACTGAAATTAGACATAAAGGGAATAATAAGATTAAAAAGACACTCTGAAGTCTGTGTGAACAGATGTGTCAGGCACAGAGGCTGAGAAGTTAAAGAAGGGATGGAGGGAGAAAAAAATCATGAGTTTGTCTGAAATGTGATAAATTTGATAAGGGCAGGTCCAAATGAAATATATATTTAGGCAATTTGAAATCACAAAATCAAAGGCTTGAAAAGATAGAAGAGTCAATTTTGAAGTCAGAAACATAAAAGTAAATTTTGGCAGGAATAAAGATGAATTATATGAAGATTCCAAAAAGAAACAGAGAGCATAAGAGAATTGTCGAGGATTAATGGCTGTCTCCACCTTGTCTCTCTACCTTTCTTTCAAATGATCCCTAAAAAAGAAAAAAAAAAAAAATTCTTGAATTTGAGATCCCATGGAATTTCAACTAATGTAAACTCTACATATGACAAGAAACCACTTTAGAAGAGCTTACTATAGTAAAATCCCCAGTAAAATTAAATGGTATTTAAAATCAGTGTTATGTTCTGTCTATCTCTTACTTATTTACTTACCACTCAAATAATTCTGTATTTGAGTTGGTTTTTCATAAACTAGTAAAGTTCTTTTCTGAAACTTTCTATCATTTTAAGCATAAACTGAGTTAGAATTAGCTGATAATACATATCTTATCTAGAATTCTGTCCTTCAGGGTAGGTCTCTGCCTTTGGGAAATGTTGATGTGAATTAATTTAATATTATGCAGATCTTTTGAGGTCATTTAGTTATTAGTTCTCCCACAGGGATGTCTGGTACTTCCTCTCACCCTCACCCTTTCTTGTCTGTGTCACTTCTTTGATGTGCAAATGTCCATAAAAGACGTTGAAAATGTACACACAAATAGATATATAATTTTGACTATTTTTTCTAGGTTTTACTTTTTTCCAATGGAGGGAAGTTTATGAAAAAGACCTTGATTGGCGAAGCCTGTATCTGGCTTGACAAAGTGGATCTCAGAAAAAGAATAGTCAACTGGCACAAACTTTTGGTCAGTCCTACTCAAACCCACTGAAGAAATGTCTGCTCAGGGTATAGAAAGTGCTTTAAATAATCTTAATCGCGACTATAGTTGAATAATATTGGTTCTAAGCTATGTTTTCAGGGGTAATCGTGAGAAGAGGAACAAAAAGCAAAAGCATACTCAAACCTTTGCAAATGTATGGTTGTGGAACATAGAAAAAAACTTAAAAGAAAAAGTCCATATATTGAAGACAAGAAAAAAAAAAAGGAGTTCAGAAACCTTGGATTTCTTGTGGCTGTCATGAAAAACTGAGAGAAATTTTGATTACTTAATGCAAAACATTTTTGAATAGAGTTGAGCTATAGCTAACTGAAGGCTGAGACTTAAAGATTAATATGGTTTCTAACACAGGCAAAAGTAATCCTTTACGTAGAAGAGCTTGGTTGAAAGGAAGGAAGTGATGTAACTAATCTCAGTTTTCAAAAGCCTTTCTTCTTCATCTTCTCAGATAACTGTTTTGAGATGCTGACATAGGATATACCTACAGTGTGTGTCCAGACTAGAAGTAAGGAGGTTGTGTTTTTAAGGAAAGGGGAACCAGAGATTTAGAAATTATAGCTTTCAGATCATGTTGTACAAGTTTTCTCTGTGTCTAAATGTTACAAGGGTGAACAACACCAATTTTGGAATTCATGTTGTAAAAGCACATTTGTATAATTTGAAATAATGTATATTGAAAATAATACTAAGTAGAAATGGAATTACATGTATCGAGAAGTAAAAGCCATGACTGGCTAATGGAAAAGAATATTGTCCCATAAACTGTTGGAACCTTGGTTGAAAACATCAAAATCCCCATAAATAACCCATAATCCAAGACATTTTCAATCTACATACCAAAGGACCTAGATTAAATTGATATGTTCTAGGAAGCATGATAACTTGTGCTTTGTGAAGTTGCAAATCAATGTATGATCCCACATATTTTCTTTCTGTGAAGTAATAAATGCGCAGAGAAAAAGTTCTTCCTCTGGCAAACAAATCATACTAATCTGTGACATTGATTAAATTGGTGTCATTTCCTGCTCTTCCACAGTTTCTTTTTCCCTTACTATGTTAATTGGTTGTAAAATGAAAACCCTGACACCAAATTCAAGTTCTCTCTAGTGCCCTATTTTCCTACTTTAGTGACAGTATCACAGTGTTGGGAAAATATGTGAAAAATCAATGTTATATTAAGGTGAAAGTGTTCTTGGAGCTACTTTAATAATACAGAATAAAAGGACCAATGTCTAAGTCATTAAAATGAAACATCCTCTTCCCCATCAACCAACAACATGAACAAGGAAGTTACATGGACTTGGAGGAGATGAACTCAGCTGGGATTCAAAGCCTGGCCTCTGGCCTTGGTTCTGCCACTAACTGTCACTGTGCACATGTCACTTAAACTCAATTTTCCTCAGTTTTCTTATTTGTGGGAAAATATAATTACATATTCCTAACCTTCCTAATGGGATGTTGGGATGATCAAACTAAGTGATCTATGAGAAAAGATGAAAGCACATTTCCAAATATAGTTTTATACACATAAGAAAGGAATAGGCATTATGCAGTTTTTTCCCCAATTTTGTATGTGAAAAAGCATCTTCAAAACCAACGGCAAGCAAAGACATGGATAAAAGCAGTATATTAACTCCAAAACCAATTTTTTCTTAAAATATGAACTTATATAAACTTTGATTTAGCCAAAAGAGGTTTAAAAAATTTTTTAAAGGTTAAAAACTTAATAAAAATGATTTACAAATTGGGCTATCATAAATTAAATAAATTATACTGATCTTATCCTATTCCCAAACCCACAAAAATAAATTGATTCTCTGTGAATTCTGAGTTTAAAAGCTGCTTCTTATTCAAGGGTGAGGTTTTAGTGGAATTAGAGAAATTTTCTACAAACATATTGGTCAGATATTGAATTTTCTCATTTTTAAAGAAAAACATACTTGAAATCTGAGAGAAATTGATTAAATTTGAGACATTAAAAATTAAATAATTTATAACAAACCCCATGTTACATATCTTTATTATATTCATGGAGATATATAAATGTACTCCTTTCCAGTCTAGAAAAGGTAACAGTCACTTTTCTTCCCTCTACTTTGTAATCTCCCTCCCCTGACAATGCAGTTTTATCATTGATTATTGCTGTGAAATGAGCATGCGGTGAGAGGATCGCAAAGTTGCTAGAATTTTATTTTTAGAGACAAGTAGATCTGCTGATGGTTGCCATGGATATTTCCAGCAGAATTTAGCACTTTAGGGAGCTTATAATCATCACATAATTGGGGAATGACAGGGTTCAGGAAGATCTCCTTCTGACCTGAAAAGGCTCTATTGTTTGTCCTTCAAAGGAGACTCTCGCGCCCATGGGTCCTCTCCTGCGGCCACTTAACCCAGAAGTGTGCATGAGAGCTTCATGACCAGTTAGCTCACGTCATTACAGTTGCCATTTCTGTTAAAATACACAAAAGGAGGTGCCACCAAACAAAGATCATACCTTGGTAGCTATTTGACATGAGAGAGTAGGAGTCTTACCATGACAGGTGCCCCTCTATTCCAGAGCGGGCGATGTGGCCAGGCCAATCAGGAGAGTCCATGACAGGGCTTCTTTTTGTGCACCAGCATCCCTCTTCAGAGAGTGTAAGATCCTGCCAGGTGTGCCAAGTTTGCAGCTGACCGAACACCTACATTGTACTGGAATTATTCTATGCAACACTGAACCTTATACAAATGCGTTTCTTCTGCTATTGATTACCCTTCTTACAACAAAACTGTTTCTTTTTTAATTGCAAATAGGGCTCGGTGTTTTTTACTTTTTTGTATATATCACAGCACATGATTTTCCACTTTTTATTTCATTTATTTTATTGGGATTAGCTTTTTTTATCTTAATAGAGACAAAGTTTGTAATCTCTAAATAACATGTGATCAGTCCAGTTACAGCACTTATACCTTGAAGAGCATCTTAATTTTTCCCACAATTTCATTAAGTCATCAGACACAAGTTGCTTCTTGGTTTAAACTTTGGTCCCCAAGAAACCTTTAGCTGTGAAGCAAAAGCACAGAGTGAATTTTTACACAAGACAGGGATGTCTAGAATGGTCATTACAGACGTAGATAATACTAAGTTTGTGTTTCCCTGTTTTACTTAAGGTTAAGGAGATTTTTGGTGACTCTGAACTCTTTATTTATCATTTCAGTTTAAAAGAAGAGTATCCAAGACTAAGGGGAGGTGATTGTCTTTGCTCCTTAATGTTGCCTATATTGTAATTAATCACATTAATAAATGCATATTTTCAGCATATCAGTGGATTTAATTTTGTGGATCGCACACATTAAAATAGTCATACTGTGGGAATATTATAGCTGGTAACCAGCTGATACTGATTCTTATTATAGGAATGGTTGTGATGATCATGGTGATAGAGGTAGTGAACTAGGTTGGTGGTGATGTAAAGTAAAATGAAATTATATACTATATTGTGCCCAATTTATTAGAAATGATTTGATCAGTGTTTCATTTCATTAAGATATCATAAAGATGTTTATAGTATTTTTTTACTTTATTATTTAAATCATAACTAACAATATTTTTAAAAACTTATTTTCATTGCTACAATGTCTAATATTCCAAAAGCAGCCAACTACAGCTATGTATGTGTTTATAACTCTATGTGTGACAGAGTGATTTTCCCTCTTTTTGAGCTTGAGCTGGAAGTAAAAGAAAGCTCAATGAATAATTATGAGCTGTCTCTTTAATAATAACTTGCCTTTGACGTGACACAAGAATGAATGAGTGAAACAGATATTCTCATTGAATATGACACATTGATGTTTTCTGTATGTTCCATGTTGTTGTTATTATTAAAGACTCCCTTTAAATAAAAATCATTTAATCAAATGATTCCTTCTCTGATAGGTAGATTGAGAGCATTTTCTTAATTCGTTACCCTGTACATAACTATCCATTTGGTATACTAGACGAAGTTGAAATATTAATTCCCTGTGGCATTCAGCATGTGAATATGATTCTCGTTTGATTGTGTATGTATATTTGTTGGTGATGTGCTCAGGTGCTCCCACTACCAATGAATGTGTGTGCTGATATCCTAACAAAAACACATCTGATGTTAAAGGAAATAAGTTTCTTGTCTGAAAAGATAAAAACCTAATAAAATTGGTTTCAAAATAAAAAATAGAGTACTTGGAGATACGTCTTGTTTCTAACTACATGTTGCATGCCGTGTTGGTGATTTGCTAATGTGTTCTTTTTTCTGTTCTACCCAATCTCTCAAAAATCTAATGAACCAACAAAAATTCTTGGGCTAAAGGTTATATAAGCTGAACTGAAATACATGAGAATTGTATAGAAATGCTTGTAAATCTGTCTTGAGTTTTACTTTATGGAAAAATATGTCTTGGTTTTGTGATTGTATACAAGATGTATCTTGATAACTTATGCAAACTGTGCTGTATAAAGGCTGTGGCCTCAGCCTTGCTAATAAATATTGAAAATATCAACTTTGGCTGCCTGTGTTTATCAACTTGATAAAATGATACATAACATAGAAGTAGAACTTTCTGGAATATTTTTTCTGAAAATTATATGATGAATACATTCACTCAGTTTAAAAAGTAAGTTTTAAACAGCACAAATACAGGAACAGAATTAAACGTATAATTTAATAAATTACTATATCAGACACTCTTAAAACAACTACCCAGATCAAGAAATTGAACTTTTAACATATTTGATACATTTTAATCCATTGAACTTGTTACTCTAAATATTAAGCTTTAAATTTGCCCTTTTGAGCCAGTGGGTCCCTCTTTGAGTGGACTTACATATTTGATAACTTTCTTTCTATGGCAAGGACATTTTATATCATTTCTTTAACCTTAAAACATTATAGGAAATCAACTGAACTTGAATTTTTACTTTTATTTTTCTTCCTATTTATCTCTATAAAAATAATTAAATTTTGGAACACAGC